TTGGATATGTTAATGATATATTGACCGCAAAACTCAATGTCCCCGGTTTTAATTTTGAAAATCTAGTCACCTTAAATTAAGGAGAGTTCAAATGATAGTTAGCTCATCCTGAAGCGACCATAAATGTGTGAGCCTAATGGCATGTCAATCTATCAGATAGTAGTTTAAACATTTTCTCTAAAACCAGAATATGTCTGCTGTTGGTGTACAGGAAATGTGGGAAATCGCAAAAGTCTGTAAGCTTCATCCTCTTGGGACCATGAATGTTTATCCAAAATGTTACGACAGTCATCCATTTGTTGTTGAAATGTTTGTGTCTGGAGTAGTAGACAGGCATATCTTAAAAAAGATTTGTAGAATACAACAGTGGCCCATATCTCGAACTAATCCAGTTATTTTGCATCTATTTAAATATTTAGCCTTTTACTTTCTCTTCAATTTATTGTCCCTTTTTTTAGAAACAGGCTGTTTAAGTAATTTAAGCTGCTTGCTATGACATCATATTATAAGCTTATATAATAACCAATCGCTGTATTTACTCACAAATAACCTCAACAGACCAGAGGCACTGAAAGTAGAGCAACACATTCTTCCAGGCTTCAATAAGCTCACCCAACATAAAAATGAACAAAAACTGCTAAATGGTCCAACAGTCGCTTTTGGTGTATGTGAGCCCTTTGATTTCCCTAAACCAAGTCTCTTGATGGCTTCTCTGCAACATGAAACATGACACATCATCCATTATTCTGTACATGTGCCTTGCTATCTCAGCCCACTCCATATGGCCCCTGTTGTCTCCAGACACCCAAATCCCTTTCCTGAGGCCAGGGGCTGTTTTTGTGGGAACCATTACATTGCTCCTCATCCTCAGAGGAATGGGGTGATGATGATGAGCAATCACAGCCAGAGCAGACTTTCTGCCTCAAATTCTGACAGGATATTCAACAATTGACCGTATCTGCTTTGTTGGCCCAATTGCTAATTCATGCAAGTTGACAATCTGGAGGCAACAATTATGAGAGATGAAAGCAGTGGAAATAAGAGGAGAGAGCACTTAAGGGGACGGAGAATAACACAAAGTTTACTTTTAAAAAGGAGGGAGGGAGGTAGGAGATTTTATATTCATACTACAGGAGGAGAAAAGGGGTGGAATTGCTTAACAAAGCCTCTTCTAAAACCAAACACACTGAACAGATGAATGGATGGCAATGCGGGCATAAAATGCCATTTGTGTATTGAGTTGAAATGTCTGCCGTTTGAATCCTTATCACACAAAACCTAATGTGACGAGAAATAAACGTGATAAGGAGCTGTGTGAAGACCTCAGGTGTTTTACGCCAAAGCATTTTGAGAGAAAAAATCCCAAGAGAATTTGCATGAAACATGGGTATTTTCCATGTCCTTGTCCAGATGCATAATTGGCAATGAGACATGGTATTGGGGAATCAAAAATGAAGTGGGCAAATAAATAAACAAATCTAGTAAATGAATCAAATCTGTTGCTTGTAGACGAAGAAGCTGAGAGATGCTAGGTTTTGTTAATCTATTTTTTCTGCATTACTATGTCAAATAATGATTTCTTTTTTACAAGCCCAGCTGTGATGGAGCTTAATGAAAGAGAGGCCTGCAGTGCCATTCATCTGCAAGGTATAAAGAGGTAGGTAAAGGTCAGGCCATATTTCTGGCAGATATACACAAATCTTAATGTTTCTTGAAGCACCCAAATTACAGAGGAAAAAGTGAATATTCAAATTGTATCTTTGCCTATTTGAAAAGGCACTTTTGAAATGAAAGAGCTCGCAGCACTCTGGACACGGGGATGCAGAGTAACAGGATGCATGTCATAAGCTGTTGTCGACTCGCGTTCTCTGCCATGCCTCTGCACTAAGTTTGCCATATAGTGTGGGGGAATATGAGGGTGATGCTAAGTGAAATGCTCATTTTGCGTTTGTGATTACCAAGGCCCATGGGCGATATGCACTAATGTGAGCTAATGCAATAGATTACACAGTGCTGGCCCAGGGGAACAGACAGCAAACAGATGTGGTCTACTCAAAAAGGGAGGAGGGGTAAGAGAAAAAAAAAAAATCAAAGTTTAAAGTGTTCAATGTGCTGAAGATTGTCCCTTGCAATTTGTTGTTTACAGAATGCACGTCGTGATAGGTCCTGTCAGGCGTCTCCGTGTGCAGATATATATCCAACAATAGTGTGCTTGTGTCTTTTAAAGAAGACAGAAACTTCTCTCAGAAACATTTATTTTTCAAAGAGTAAAAGTGCACCGAATCACAAAGCACTGCACACCAGGTGTTGCCTTTGATAGCTGATTGGCAACACCTGTGTGACATCATCAATTAAAGGTGTGGAGTGGACACAGTAGGTTTGTTCATTTAAAAGCAAAGAGAACAGCATTTTGTTTGTCCCTTGTAGAAAAGTGTACTTTTGAGACAGACGTTTGTATTTTATGGTTTACTTAGTAGCAAGGTTAATAAACATTCCTTTATTTGGAATATAATTCTGTTATTATTTATTCTCACCTGGCCACAATAAACAGACTTGTAACTGACTGTACTGCATGCTGCTCAAACTGAACATGCAAGGCTTTGAAATCTGACATGGCTCAAATCTAGACTTTGTAAATACTGCTCTCTAGTGGTCAGTCTGGATCATTGAAAGTAAAAGGAGTACACATCCTATATTCTGTCAGTCACATCAGACAGCAGCCTACTAATTAAAGTTACATTGAAAGCATGTAAGGCCTCAAACTGCCGCTACATCTGTACATTTTGCAAAGGGCTTTGCATGGGTGGAATATTGTTTGAAAATATATGTTAGTACAGTCTCCATTCAAAATAATCCAAGGCACACTGGGGATTTTACTAGGCTAAAAATGTATAGCCAAGTGAAATCAGTGCATCGTAGTTCTGCCCAAATCTGAGTATGCTTTGATTTTTTTTTTTTACTTGCTTAATATACATATTTGAGACCATTTACAACCTACATTAGAGTAGATTGCCTATCAATAAAATAACCAAAATGAACACACAGTTTTTTGCCTCACTTTATTATTGAAATGTGTCGTACAAATCTCAAACAATATTTTCCTTTTTACATAAGTACACATGTAACGTGAATTCCAAACACAACAAAAGAAATAACTTAACCCAAGCCTTTCAAAGTGGCAGAAATACTAAATTACACAAAAGACTAAACGGCTCGTAAATGAGTTTACCTGAGACGTTATGTTCACAGTGTGTATTTCATCGAACCATTTATCAACCATCTGTATATTTCCTCCAAACTATAGTGATGCATCTACCACCTGATGACATCCAGGAATGACTGCAACTTGAAACTAAATAACACTTTCATTGCCTGAACAAAATGTAATGTCCAAAATAATACAGCATCGCCATTTGATAACAGAACTGGTGAGATTTAATATATATTACAGCGTAAGGATTTGAGGCACCACTATAGCAGATGAAAGCTGTTTTCAAAAAGGATAAATATTAACCAAACAATCGGTTCTGTGTTACAGTTAATGGTGCGCCAGAGGTGGCCTCAGCAGACTAACACAGAGACGCCTGACAAACACATGTAGTTATACAAGTCCGTCTAGTTATACTACAAATCAAAACATCCGTCTCAGATCGATAACTAGGAGCAGAGACTCAGCTGACATGATGGCTACAGCAGCTTTACAAAAATAACAGCGTGACAACATGAGGTAGACCACTCACACACACAGGACCTGGTACTGTGGCCTGTGTGTGAGCCATCAAGTTACTAAACAGAGAATCCCCACCCTTCAGTGCCTTGGAGAAGGGAAACACCACGATAGTGCTTCATTACTGCCTGTACATAAACAGTAAGTGAACAGAGCAGCAATTTTACACAAAATGTACATTACTTTATATATTTTTATCTACTGAAAGCTTACAGATATATTTATGTCATCCCACAAAGTGTACTGTTATGTCATAGACACTTACAGATATCTGAACTTTAGCGTGGGTCAAATTTGGATTAAGCAACAGTTTTGAATAGAAACAAATATCACCGTGTACACCAGTTGATCTTCAAAGAGAGATGATCTGCACTTTTTATCCAAAAAGAAAAGAAAACAGCCTCAGCCATGAAATGTCAATGCATCAAATGTCCCTCTTCTGAAAATCATATTACGTTTGGAGAGCCTAATGAGCACAAACCATCTCTCTTAGATCCTAATTTGAAAAAATCCTCCAAGAAATTATGGCTCAAATCTAATTATTTTCAATATGTTCAATTATGACTTTTATATCAGCACCAGGAAAAGCATTCTGGTCAGGGTTCACAAATCAGAAAAAAAGAAAGCTCTAGTTGTTTGTTCTTCAAAAATATGTGTCCACCTTTTTACCTTGGTGCCACTTTAGGTGCCTTTGTCAGTGGTCCCGTAGCGCTGGTGAGGGAAAGGGCCCGAGGAATCTCTCCTCTGGAGGCTGGGCATTGTGGGTAAGTGTTGGTACAGCACAGTTCTGCCTGAGGAGGAATATGATATGTTAACTCTACAAACCGCCAGGCTATGCAGACATAAAACTCATTTCTTTTCTTGATCCAAGGTTTCAAGGCTTTTACTGTCATTCGTACAGTGAAGTTATGTCGATGGAAATCTTAGGTCACAGGCTCCTCCAACAGTGCAACACAATAAAACAAATACAAGTAAATACAAATAAACATAGCAAACATAATACATGTCAACTTCATTTTCAATCTGTAAACAGGACGAGCAACTTCTACATTTATAAAGTTTTCTTTTTACCATGGTGTCTGTTATTTCTTTTTTTCCACTTATTGTGTTTTAATTAATAAAAACGTGTGCCTTCATTTTTATATAATATGAGAGTGTTCTCTTTTGAATTAATCTGCACTGTACTCTTGCTGTTGTAATACCGTATATTTCCCCGGTGCAGGACAATTAAAGACTTCTGAAACATACCTGCTCTGGGGTTGGCCAGCTGCCCGGGGTTCCCTGCGGTGCTGTGGTAGAGGGAGGCCAGCTCGTTGGGGGAGTAGGAGCGCAGGAGGTTCATCATGCCCCACTCAGCGTCCAGACTCCCTCCTAGAGCTGCGGACGTCTTCAGAGAGCTCTCGGAGGCTGTGGACGGACCCGGCATTTGCGGCATGCTCTTCCTCCCCGAGATGAGCATCCTGTTCCCTGTTGCTCCTCTGTAGCCCAGCATGTCCCCGGGGTCCGCCTCCCTGCCCGTAGGGACCCCGCCGTATTTTAACCTCTTGCCCGAAGGTTCGCCAAAATCCATTTGAGGGAGGTTTCCGAACCGGCTGGAGAGGCAGAGCCGGGCCGCATCCGAGTGCCAGATGACTCCGCTCCTCACCGGGTAACTCCTCTCCCCGATGCCCACCCTCTCCGGGGGGGCCGTGCGCTCCATGGTGAACTTGCTGCCTGCGTTTGGTTTCATCTTGACCTCCGTGTACCTGGAATATTCCTGATGTGTGTCGATGCTGCGCTGGGTCTCCTGGACAGCCTCCTGCACGGGTGCACGGATAGGAGAGGGCTTTGGGGGTTCGGGGGTCTTTTCTGGTGGTTTCGGAGGGTTGGGGGGGGGGGATTGGGTTCGACGAGGGTGGCGCCGGTCGATCATCGGAAGGGGGATGACGTCTTTCCCTTCGAGCGCAGGGGGGCAGCCTGTCAAACGTTTTACTTTCAAACAACCGTTCTTTTTCGCGCCGTCTGACTTGTCTCTATGAGTGAGCTTCTTGTGCATGATCAGAACCTCGGGGTACATGGTTTTGTACGCACACAACGAGCAGGAGATTGTTACCGATGCATTTTTGGGGCCGGCGGGGACGGAGAGAGACGCTTTTAAGGACAGATTTAACGGGTCCTCCTCGCAGTTTTCGTCTTTTACCTCCTGCATTTCCATCTTCAGGCTCACGGGTACGGGACACTTTATGAGCGCACTGTCCGTCGGGGAGTAAGCAGACGTAGCGGTCGAATTCTCATACTCTGCATTCATCTGGGCGAGGGGTTTGCCGATCTTGCTGCTTATGCTTTGAAATCTGTCCTCTGGCGTTCTGTTGGTGAGCGATCTGGCTGCGGGAACCCAGAGTTTGGATCTATTCGGTGCGGGACTTTCCTCACTCCCATGTTTTTTATCGTTAGGAGTGGGCGTGGGTTTGCTAGGGATGTCCACTAAGGGTTTGTCCTTGTGGCGGCGGTCCAGGTGATACTTCAGTGAAGTCTTCTGGGCCGCGGCGTAGTCGCAGTAAGCACACTTGAATGGTTTTTCACCTGAAACAAACAAAGATACAAACACCTAATTATAGCATAGTTTCAAATACAAGGCAGAATGATTTCCATTATTGAGTCATTGAAACGTGTTGAACATACCTGTGTGAGTCCTGAGATGAACCGTGAGGTAGTAGCTTGATCGGAAAGATTTGCCACAATAACTGCACGCTTTTGATCTGACCTTTGATCGATCAAAACCATCCTCACCTTTGAAAATAGACGCAAAAACATACATAGAGAGGAATAAGACAGTATAAAAGCAGGTGTTATAATCTCTCCCATCAGCAGGGGGAGCACTTGGTAAAGTTCTTTGTATGAACAACAACTCCTAAATCCCAATTAGGACAGTATGAGTATGAGAGTGTAATGTCATTTACCTGGACCCAGGTTTTCTGTCAACGCTGCTTCCTCAAATCCTTCCTCGCAGCCTTCTTCTGCGTGCTCAAATGAGCCTACTCTCGACAACTTCCCTTCCAAAGAGGAAGTGGGACTGTCTCCGCCCACTCGCTCTCGCTTGTGGACCCGGGAGTGGAGAACCAGCTGGTGGTAGGTCCTGAAAGTCCTCTGACATTCCTCACAAGTGGTTGGCCTTTCTTTGTGTTTGTCTTTTTGCATCAGAGACCTCCGCTTCGGCGCTGGGTTTTCTGCTACAGCCTGAGGTCGGAGCTCCTTCCCGAGGCCTTCTTTGGTGGTTTTGTCTCCTTGTCCCTCAGACCAAATATTATTTAACTCCTCCTTATCTGAGCCGCATTCCTCATTGTCTGTGCTGGCTTCCTGGCCGATATCTTTAATATTATTCGGGCCAACTGCTATCTTGCCCTTTGTTGCGAGTTGCCAGGCCTGATATGTGTTGAATGGATCCAGCTGGGGAATCCATTTTGATGATCTCTCTGTTTTTCCTAAAGAGCGAGGCATGAGGTTTAGACTGTGAAGAAAGGTTTCCTGTTTGGCAGTAGTGTCTTCCATTTCCTCGTTGTCTTTATCTTTGCCGGGTTCCACCTCTCGATTGTGTACCTTACTGTGCTCAGCCAAACTGTCATGGTCGGGGAAGAAAAAGCCGCACACCATGCACATTTTGTAAACAGTGCTCACAGGTCCTGGAGGAGTGTCCTGGACGATACCGTTGACCGTGGCGGGGGTCTCCAGATCTTGCTGGGACTTGCTCTTTGCTCCTGGTTTCACGTGCATCTTCATGTGGTTCTTCAGAAACCACGGCTCTCTAAACCTCCGTCCACAGAAGTTGCAGCAGTAAGTGAAGTAGTCCTTGTGCTTCCTCATGTGGGCCTCCAGCTCGTTGGCATCTTGCAACACCTGTCCGCACACGATGCAGCTGCGAACCTCCTCCTCCTCCTCCTCCACGGGGATGCTGCTGAGTTTGGACCAGGGTCTCTCTCCTGGGATCCTGAACTCTGCTTCCACTCTGAGCACAGCCGGCTCAGAGAAGGTGGAGGGGTGCTGTGTCAGAACGTGGGGTCCTAACTCGTCCTGGTGAGTGAACGTGTGATCACAGAACATACAAGATAGTGGCACACTTCCTCCTGATTGCAACACCGCCTTCTCTGAGTAGGTGGTGTGTGGTGTCATGCTGGAGCCGGGCCCTGGGGTGCTCGCGTTACTATAAAGAATATCTTGGGCAAGTCCATCTGGGCTCTCCACAAACGGTGACAGAGAGTGAGTTGGCATTTTCCTCTGAAGGGGGGGGGAGGGAACGCTGCACACACTGTCCGAGTTATTAGGGACCTGAAACAAAAGGAAAAGTATCTTTAGACTCTGCTGTATGTCAAAACAGAATCAGGTAGCTGCTACTGAATTGGAGATTGAATACATTTATAAATATACAGAGAGAACGGCCTACCATTCGACTGAAACAGGAAACAAATCTCTTAAGCAATCAACTGCACAGACAACTTGTTTCCTCTCTGTACAGGTCATTGATAAAGCATTCAGACATGGCTTTGTACTGCTCACAAGTATTCTTTTTACTAATTAACTTTCTTCGGTTTGGAAACTCAAAAGTGTTAACAATAATGTAAGTGGAAAATATCAAAGAGAGAGTGAAGTATGTAGAAAACATTAGATAAAAGCAACACTATATCAAAAAAGTCAGAAAATATCAGAACTATCGTACATTTAGATATGTATTTGCAAAAACAAAGCTTTAAGCTACAATTGTTTTTCAAAATAATTGTAGATGATGATAGTGAACTAAAGTTGAGTTAAGCTATTCAAATATCACTTAATTCAAACAATATAGCCTTTTTTTAGCCTTTCCTGGACAAAAACATACCTTTACTAAATTTGACAACTATGTTTTTTTTTCTTTTTAGTAAACCGAATGAAGTATTGGCACTAAACAACATTTAAAAAACAGTCAAACATGTAAGATATCAAACGTTTTGATGTTATACTGGCCAACAACGCCTGTCTGCCTCACATTGTCAATTATAAGGAAGCTCTAAGGAGTAAATAACCTTACATTCATTTTCCCTTTGTCTGACTGTTGAATACTTCCTGGTTTTTGGTCTCAGTAGCTCTTTTTGTGTGTGTATCATGAACTGATGACACAGATAGTACAACGTTGAAGAAATCCTAATCGACTTCTATGTTTGTTTGTCCCAAGGGTGGAGCGACTGGTAGAGCAAGTTCAATTAATACTAAAAGGTACTATTGCTACAAAAGCAAAACAGACAGCAGTCCACTTTAAAGTCTCAATATCTATTAATCCAGACTTTATTTAATTTAAATATACATTGAATAAGTATTAGAATGAATAGTTACACCTGGGGAAAGTAGTTGGTAATACATTGCTTGTTGTTTTTCATTGAACCACCCGTATCTCCTCAATAAACTTCAGCATTGCGGCAGGTTGTGCAACTAAGTACATTTACTGAAGTACTCTACTTAAGTAAATAATGTAGGTACCTGAACTTTACATGAACTTTACATGAACATTTTCACATTATGGTACTTTTACTTCACTATATTTTGTTGGCCAATGTTGTCCCCTGCATTTATGTTACATATTTAGTTACTTTGCAGTGTTAGATTAATAATAAACTGACACATACATTATGATATATTAGTATATGTTAGGCTTAACAGTAGTGAGAATTGAAGTGATAAACATATAAATGCAACATTAATAAAAAATTTAAAAAAAGTTTGCCGTTTTAATGTGCCTTTGTGCATAACAAGTACTTTTGGTATTTTTCTAATGCTTATATTTTTTTGGAAATGAAACTTAAGTACAAATTTGAATGCATATTTTGCTTGTATTTTTACCCTCTAATATTGCTACTTTTACTTAACAAATAATCTAAGTACTTCCTCCACCTTTGGTGCAAAATGTTACTATCTTTGAGAGGTGGGAAGTAACTATGTGCATTTACTGAAGTACTGTACTTAAGTACAATGTTGAGGTATGTATTTCCATTTTATGCTACTATGCTACAATTCAGAGGGAAATCGTGCCCTTTTATTCCACTGCATTTATTTTGTACCTTTAGTTACTAAATAGGATTAATGTTGTGAAATATAATCACCACTTAAATCAGACTTTAGTTACACCTGGAGTAAATTCACAAGCTACCCTGCAGTAATGTATACAAAGTCATTAAAACTAGCTGCACCTTTACCAGCTTTGATAAACAGACAATAATTATAATCAAAACATATCATATATTATTCTGAAACGGACCAATCTGCATAATAAGTATTTTTACTTTTGGTACTTTAAGTATATTTTGATACTTTCCTACTTTTACTTGAGTAACATTTTGAATGCAGGACTTTTACTTGTAACATAGTATTCCTACACTCTTCTACTTTTACTTATATACAATATCTGAGTACTTCTCCCACCTCTGCTATTTTCTTTACCATTATTACTTTGCCTTGTTGAACTTTTGACTTAACCCAGGTGGGACCATGCTACTGTCGATTATGACCCAGTGTGATTTTTTTTTAAAGAGCATGCCTGCTTTGTGTGAGGCAGCGTTAGCCACCTTGTTATTTAAGTAAGCTCAGTCCTCGTTAACACCACTAGTTTGCTATGGAGTGGGGGATGCTCAAAGTCACTTTAACATTACACCCTTTAAGTTTAATCAAATTAATCCAAAATCAAAGAATGTTAAGCGTTGTTGCTATAAGATGTCTATGTGTGTATAATAACCAGAACACGAGGGTGACTTCTTTTAAACGATCAACTTAAATATATCAATAATGGCTGATTTCTTCAAAGAATACGCTTTACATTGAGTGGAAACACGTTCCTCTAGCGAGGATTTCATGACAACAAATGAACGATACATTGTGTACTTACGATGTTGATTATTCATTTGTTTAACGCCATTTCTTAAACTAAAACCTCGGATAAAGTTAACGTAACCACGACAACGTTGACAAAAACAGACTCGAATTCTCCCTAAACGTTAGCACACTTTGTGTTGTCTTCGAGAAAACTGCAGAAAGTCACCAAACAATACCTTACCAAGTGAGAATTTCCGGATTAATAATGACACTTGATACTACGAGCGAGTCAATTCAGGAGTTCAGAGCGAAGTGTGTGACTTCTCGCTTCTTCTTCATTTCACATATACACGCCTTTTTGTTCTGGGGGAAAACAGCTCACCTATTGAATTGTTTGAATGTGAATCATATTTGTTCGAGTCCTGCTCCTCACTGTGTGCAGCTGTTGAACTCTGAGGCGCGCTCCCTCCTCTTCCAACGATTCTCACAAGGGGAAGATGGAAGCGCGTGCACGGCAACCCCAAAAAACCTATAGGGCAGTCACGTGGTCGACGAATAACATAAAAGGGATTTAGATAAGTGTAAAAACCTGGTAAAAACACGCGAATTAAACCGTAAATGTTATGTATTTCACAATGAGTGTCTTTATTATAGTGATGCCATTACATTCATACAAAACAATGAAACTGTCAAGCACAACACATACCATCTATGTAAAGAACCATAGCCCTTTGTTGTATGTTTTTAACATATTTTTTAAATATTAATAATTATATATTATCATTATTTTTGTTACGTGTATTCTTCTCTTCTGTATATACCTGTGCTTTTTTGTTAGTTTGTATTCGAAGACACTGAAAGCCATGTTGTTTGTACATGACTTTTTCCAATAAAGATCTTAATCAAGAAAAAAAACAATGCGAATGAGGTAGAAAACATACATGCGTAGGACTGATGTAAGACTACGAGATCTTGCTACGTCACCAGATACAGGTATGGCTGTTTTGGACACTTATTAACTGTCATGTATATTAAATCACCCATAATACACTTCCATTATACGACAGTCTAATGTGTTATGTCTAACTGTGTTTACTTCACTGACTTTGGCCGAGCTCGTATGATAACGCGTCTAAAAGCTACTTTAATGTATATAAACAGTCACCGAATTGGTTTCTTTATGCAGATTATGGCCACAGGCTACACAACAACACTGTTTCTAATGTATTGCTGCAGTGAACCTACCTAAAGTGTAACCCTCCGTCCACGCTCTCACGTCATGCATCAGCCACCATGTGGAGATGGGGGAGGGGTGCCTCAAACTTTTCACAGTTACATGAGGTTTTTTTCTTCTTTTTTTTTTTGCAGAAGCAGGTTGGTCGAGTGAGTCATGATATAAATCGGCTAGTTCCCATTTATAAAAGATGCAAAAAGTACCTTAAAGTATGACGGTTTTATGTGTAATTTGATTTGTGGTGACCTAAAAAAAATAACTTTTATAAAGCCATATGCAAATGCATGTGTTTGATCATCAAGAGAGGGGGTGGATCCCTAGAGTCCCTACAGCCTAGATAGGGGCATGTCCAACCTTATAAACTATTCTAACAAGTCTAATCACAATACTAAATTATGACAGGGATAATGAAAAGTCCCTATAAAGTTGCATTGACACAAAACACCCCATAACATGAAAACACTGATTTGTATAAGATATAGACAATCACACCCACTTGGTAATGTGAAGTTAAATAGAAAGCCCCTCCTCCACCCTAACAAACAGACACCAGGCATTGATGGCAGCCTAAAGCCATACATTGTATAATCAATGAGGATATTCAGTAGACTTCAGTGTACATTCATTATTGAGCCACACACACACACACACACACACACACACACACACACACACACACACACACACACACACACACACACACACACACACCCTAGTGGCAGTAATGTCTCATAAAAAGAAATAACATTTTATCAGTAACCACTCCCAGTTAAGGAACAGTGAACAAAGACAAATGTTTTTAGCTAGATTGTTTTCTTACCCTCCCTCTCGTATAGGCAGTGATAGGGTTTTGCCTTTAGGCCCATATAAAAAATGGTTTTGTTATACTTACTGTTACAAAACAGGTCAGACCGATCTGCTGTTCCTAAAACACAATCTGCTGGTTTGACAAGCAGACGTCTCCAAAGGCACCAATGAAGGCCAGATACAGAAAGAATAGCCCTTGTCATGTATAAAACATATCTTATAGTAAAAACAATTGTATAGTTTGTTTCGTAACTTCAAGTATTGGGTTAAATAGGCCATGTGTTGCATAAGATGTGTTGGGGAACTTCAGTTTTTATTTTATTTTTGTTTTCTATTTTTATATCTCCATTATCATCAATATACTTACTATATATACTTTTTATTATATTTTCATAATGTCGTCTTATTTGTTTTTGATTTATTTTGTTGCTTTTTTCTTTTGTTTTCTTTCCTTTTTTTCGCCATTATCGGTATTATTTACATATAATATTTATTATTTAAACCTATTTATTTTTCATTAATTTAGTGCAGTTTTCCTTTCTTTTTTCTTTTTCGCTGCTTTTAATTGATATATTCATATCTTAAACTGCACTGTAACTTTTACTATCTTTGCTTTTTAATGCCATTTTCTTAATGTCTTTCATTTTTGTAAAGCATTTGAATTGCCTTGTCCCCCCAAAGGTAGTTAAAGTCATTATTGCGGTTAAAGTCCCCTCGTAGGTGGTTAAAGTGCCCTACGTGTGGCGTCTTGGTTTCAAGACCCTGGTTCGCGGAGGACACCAAAAAAGTCCTAGAAAAGACAACTTAAACTTAACTAATGTGCATTTAAAGAGAAGAGGAATAGTTTCGGAGAAAACTAAAAAGGTACAGGAATTAGTTTTGGTTTCAAGTCCCTGGTTCACGGAGGATACCAAAAAAGTCCTAGAAAGACAAGGTAAACTTAACTATGTGCATTTCAAAATAAAAAAGAGGTACCGTGGGGTCAGATTATAATTTTCCAAAGGGGGGTTCGTTTAGCATGAAACACTTGAAATAACTAAAGGACAAGTTAACAAAGAAATGGAGGAGATAGAAAACTATTTCTACTAAAAAGTTAGCAATGATTGAGAGTCAGAGCTAAGTGTACTGTCACTTTTATTCATGTATCTTTGCTTTTAAGTGAGTGTTTTTAAATGTCATTTTATAATATGTTTCTTAATGTCTTTCATTTTTGTAAAGCACTTTGAATTGCCTTGTGTTGAAATGTGCTATATAAATAAACTTCGTTATCAGTAATATTATACATATTGTATTTATTATTTTTCCACAATGTCCTTCTTTGTGTTTTCATTTATTTAGTTTCATTCTTCTTCCATTTTCTTTGATTTGTGTCTCCATTATCACAAATATTTTATTATATAATACTTATTCTTTTAATCTGTATTTTTCATTCAGTCAGCTGCGTTTTTCTTACATATTCTCTTCCTTTTCCTGTACATCAAATATGTATACTTTTTTTCAATATGTATTTCCATTCACTTTGGTGCGTTTCTTCAGTTGGTCACTTTATTTCAATGTTCTGGGTTGGAGGATTTCGACCTGTTGTATAGCCATTTTAGTTAACATATTCACCATGGCATCAGTTGTACATATTGGACTGATGAATTACATTTAAGTGTCACATTTTAAAAAGATACATTTAAATAAAGTGTCTTCAAAAATACCAAAAGATAGCCCACATGTTCTCCCAGTACAGTGTTGAATCATCCTGCATTCAGTTGCCTTTATTAGGACTCAACCACTTACATGTTCTTCCCTGACTTGTGATACTGATTCAGTACTTTGGTATTCCTTCCTCACCCCAAGATCCTGTTACACAAACAAGTCTAGTATGTTAATCAAAGGCACCACATGTGACACGTGGAGGCCTCCCGCTCATTTCCTATTGTTCTGCGGCCACAAAGGCTCTGTGAAAGGCTATCAATCTGCAGAAGCATGATGAAAATGCCAGGAGATGTTATAGCCTATCATAAAAAAAGACATCTATGTGGAGGTGGTGGTAGCTTTGTGTTTAACCAGATTTTCTTTCAATTATAATGCAGTTGATTACATAGCATTCATTTTCTGAAGTGGTATTGACAGCAACAAGTGGGCGAACATTGTTTACTGTTCACTGATTCAATTAACCGTGTCCTATTGTTTGACTTTATGCTAATATCATTTCTCATCCACAATCCTGCAAACTCATTGTCTCAGATTGTTTAAAAACAACAACATACATGTGTGCATTCAAACCAGAAGTGTGTACCTTTTAATTAAAGGTAAAGTGGCAATCTTTGAATGCTCGAATTAGTAATGATGTATTCAGGAGACAGACAGCCTGAGAGGAACCGGATCAGCGAATGGGGAAAGGCTGAGGTTGCTTCTTTTTGTCTCGACGTGCCAGGAGCAGCTGACTGCTTTGTTCTCCTTCAGATTCACCGCCCGGCTTCTTTCATAATCCTGAGAGACACTGATAATATATTATCTCCTTTCTCACCCCTAGCCGGCAATGTTAAGTCAATGCAACCAGCTGTTGTGTCGTGGATCATCAGTGTGACACATTTGATCAGGACCAAAAAGCATTCCTTTTTTCTGAGTAATGCAAATATTTGACATACTTTGTATATTTCCTGAGGAGATATTGAGGATGTGCTCTTTGTTCTGCTGCTAGTGCGCTGCTGTCAATTCAATACTGACTATTTCAGTATCCCATATTGACCCATATAATACAATATATAAAAGAAATAAAGTCTATAACGTAGAGGACTGGGAAAATACACTATGATGAAGGTATACAGAAATAAACAAATATGCAGATAACTATTGAATAGTTTCTTAGCCATTATTATTTAGATAAACATAGCGAGAGTTATGCATCTGTTGAATACTGCTATTTGGAATATTAGGTTTTTCTAATCATCAAAACAAGGAGAAACTAACAAAATGCTGTTTTCCTGTTCTTAATCTCAAATATAAAATACAGCGCCTGGAAACATGTGAAAAAATCTTACATTTAAAATTGGCAGATTAGGATGCCACACCTCGGTTTAGACGCATTTGCTCTGTAGTCAATCATTCTGATCCGTCTGTGCTATGAGAAACCTCATCCTAATGATGCATGTCCATGAGTCTGAGGCAAACCATATGTATTCTAGATGGATATCTTCATGGCTGATCATCTAAATGTAATAATCTACATTCATCAGGAATGTTTAAAAACCATTTGTCATGCATTTGCTGTAGCAGAAACATATAATCCCTTGTTACGGGCCGCATTTGTTCAATGATGTTTTTCTTTTAAACATAATTTATACATCAAAATGCAATTTACCATGTCTGTTTACTCGCGAAACACTCGTCAAGACATTAACCGGGTACAAAAAAGGAAATGAAAGCATTTCATCTGCTGATTGGCTCTAATAATCAGTTCCTGTACGTTTGTATTTCCACATGTATATCTTTTACTTTTTTAATGCTATTTTATTTCTATTTCAGAAATATTTTGGATTGTTTATTTCTAGTCTTTTTCTCTTATGTACATTGCCTTGTCTTTTTATCCCGCTGCAACGCAAACATTTCCCAAATTGAGATCAATAAAGTACTTCTTAATTCATCTTATTTAAAATGCTTTTTTAACTGAACATAGCCAACTCCATTTATCTGAGGACAAACAACACCAATGAACAGAAAACATGTATTTTATTTAGAGAGGCATTAAAATAGCTCCAGTTATGTATAGCATGTGTGGTATCAAACTACAGACGCCTTTTGTCCCTGCAGCAGGATGTCACATTCCCCTGAAAAGCCCCACAAAAACCAGCCCTAAAAGTCACTTGAAAGCATCTGCATGAGGAAGCCTCCCTAACACAAACACACATGTTGGGCCTGCAGGACCATCAGGACTGTCCTTTGGAGGGAAGATCACTGCGAATAATCTGAATGTGTTTGACCCTGGGATGATTTCCCCTAATGTTTCCTCACTCTACAGAACTGTTTGCAGCGAGCAGTGCCCTGATGCACATTGGGTCTGACAGCAGGCCTCCTGTCAAGCCTCCCTGCCCACTGTTCCCTTGTTCCTCCCCCTCTGAGCTCGCTGCATTCACACAGTCCCATGCATTGTCTTGGGATGAACTGCAGCAACATGGTGGTCAATAGGACCTTATGCAGGGTGTACAATCTGCACGCATTGTAAAATCCATACCTATAACTCCACTGTTCATTTCTGTCTGTGATTGTGCTCATGAAATAAAGATTGTGTAGAAAAGCCTTGCCTTGAAACACCCACAGCTCTGGCGGACTGCTTGTAGCGACATGCAGCCGTCATCTGCATTTTCTTTTGGCAAAATAGGCCGAGTAAATTTCCTAATCACTGCATGAGAAAGAGAAGACATAAGGAAGTGCTGGCGTGGTGCTTTAAAGGATTTGAATTTAAGATCATGTAAATAATGAATGACTTTATGTTTACTAATGAGTTTTTTCGCACATAGCAATGAGACAAAAACGTTCATCTTAATTTAAATCAATCCTCAGAGAATGGACCACATGTTTCATATCGTGAGAGCAATACCTCACTTTTTCCTCCCTAAGTGCCACGGCAATTACTTTGATGCCCGATTTAAAATGATCACAACTATTATAGAGGGTAATGCAAGAAGAGTGTGTCTCATTGATAACAAAGGAGCAGCGTGAGTTATGCCTTCAGGGGCCGAGACTCATCCCTTAATGGTGGGTGAATGGTGGGTCTCAGACATTACCTTCTAAAACACATCCTTCCAAAGACTGCGCCCTGTGAGATCCATCACAGAAATTACATCATAAATGGTAATGGTATATTTAAGGGCTTCCTTTACCTGGAATATACAATTCCTCAGATCTTGTTTCATATCTTTTATCTCTAAGGTGTTTCATGGAGGAGAGTTGTATTTCTTGTGAGCATGTCTATCAGATGCCCGTCACTTGTCTATTAGCCATACAGATAAACACATAGACGAGTAGTACTTATACACCCAACATAGTCAGCTTTGACTCGTATGTCATGTGTCATTAGCTCACACGTTTAGTCCTGTATCGTATAAAACATATGATGTAATATTATTTCAGTAAAACTTGCTGAGCCACATATGTTTTGCAGTTGTCTCCACATCCAGTTTTTCTTGTTCCTCTACTGATGGATGAAAAAACAAACAGTGAACATATTTATTGTCTTTTAAGATAGTTGAAGTTACACATACATACATATAGGTAAACGAAAGCTTTATATTAATTGCACATATGTCGAAAAACAAATAACTAACACCATAAGACGTCTTTTTAAATGACATGCTGTAATCAAATTAAAAAGCTAAGCCACTGTGATATATGAGGCAAAGCGCACCACAAGGACACATTTGCACAATGACACCATTTTGTTTTTGTTTACAATAATTTCCGTGCAGATAAGTAAAGATTGTGATTTTTCCCATATGGCCCAATACATGACTGTTAGGATGTGTATGTATGTGCTTTAGTTTACATCAAGTTAAAATAATATGTAAGTGAAGTTTGTTATACGAATATGTTCTTATAATGTCATATAGATAAAAGTACTTCTGTTGCTATTCGTTCGATATTAACCTCTGCATTGCCAAGGTTTTTCCCGCCCTTCTAAAACTTGAACCTGTTTTTCTTTTGACAAACTTATTGCTAAAAGCAAAGCCTGGTCCTGTCTATTGCTCAAACCCCGTGAGTCACATTAAATGTCTGTAGAAAACGTTTCTCACTCACATTACTTTAAGTCAAGACATGTATATGACCAGAAAATATATATATATATCTCAACAACCTCGCCTTTGAGCATTTCAAATCACAACTTGTTCAACTTTGACTTTCTATCGACTTGCTTCTACCCTTTCAGTCACTTTTCTTTCCATATTTTAACTAAACAGTAACAAAGACAAAAAAAATGTAGTTAAAGTAACTCAATAGGGTTGAAAGATATAAAGATTGAGTAAGAGCAACAAAGATAGAGGGGTTTTGTACAGGGAAACTTCACTGTTGGTTCTGGTTTCATTTGGCCTTCTCAGCTGCAGCTGCAGGGACTTGCTCCGTCTGGACCCCGGCTTCTGTCGAGCTACGTCTCTGACCCTGAAGTTGAAAGGGAAAACAATTGTAAATGTTTCCATCTACTAATCTTGTTTTTGAAGACCCATATTATGCATGCCACATCTGAACACAACCCATTAGATGAGTATTTGCATTTGACTTAAGTTTTCTAGAAGCCTTTTTTCAATTATATTGTGGGGAACAATTTCTAATTTTAGTTCTTTTTTACTTTTGAAAGCACTTCCCCCTTTTTTCAGTTGCATTGATTACTATGAAAGGAATATGTGTCAACTTATTTAAGTCAAATAGATATAAAAACAAACTCTACACAAACAATTCACAATATGCACTGCAAACATGGCCCACACGTTTGGTTACTTTACAAGTTGTTGCTGCCATCTAGTGGAGATAAGCTGCAACTAATTGCAATATAAAGGTCCATTCAACCAGAAAAAGCGTCAGTAACTTCAGTGGAAGAGGGACACCATCCTTACCAGAGTTTTAAAGAACGAATGGATGGAGTTCCTCTTCTCCAGTTTCCTGGGAGCATGGGCTGCATCTTCTCCAGCTGGAGGGGCCACTGCAGCGGGTTTGTTTTCTACAACCGCCTCTGACTTGGCTGCTGCTTTGGGCTCCTCCTTGGCTTTCACTGTCTCTGCTGCTGCAGCGGGGGAAGGGGGCGCCTTCTTGGGGTCAGCGGCCTGAAAGTGAATGAAAAACGAATTATTGCAGCCTTTGGTTTAGAATGTGTGATGTGCACCAATCATAAGCACAGTTGAACTCATATTCTGTTTTTATTATATTTAATTTTATTTACTTGGACTATGTTATCTGTTTTATTTTTTGATCTGTTGGAGGAACCTGTGACCTAAGATTTCCATTGTCATAACTACACTGTAGCTATCCACACATGACAAGAAAAGCCTTGAAACTTGAACTTTGAGATCAAGTGACATTAAGATGTACCAGATGTTAGAATCCTGTGTGTCTTAGTAAATGCACTGATATGTGCTGTTCTGATTCTCAAATATAATGACACATGGAGAAAAAAACAGATTGAAAGCAGGTATTAATACCAGATGTTATACATTTTTGTATTCATCTGGTTAATATTGCGTCTATTTTCGAGAGGTCATGCTACTGTATTGATTACTCCAGTTGTTGTTGCCTGTGGTCATGTGGTTTAAGAATACCTTAAATTCACATTAACTTGTTACTTTCTCTAATAATTCCACCATATTTCTAAGATATTGTCAAATAGTGTATAGGTCCTTACTTTGGACTTGAACATGGAAAAGAAGGATGGCTTTGAGTCTGTTTTCTTTTCTTCCTGAACAGGCGGTGGAGGTTCGGGTTTCAAGGCGGCCTCCAGGGTGCCAGCTTTTGAGGGATCCACCTTCTTTAATGGAAACAGCAGAGAAGACAATACATATCATGAGGTATTGATGATTTAAAGGCAAGGCAATGATTGAAGCGGATAGGGTGAGAACAGGAGCTGCCACCTGTGAAGCAAAAGAAGAGGTAAAAGGGTTGGAAACGATCCAAGCAGGATCAGAGCAGAAGAGGAGGAAGAAGAATTGGATAAAAACCTGTCCCTGTAAGAATGAGAATCCCAGAAAATCATGCACAAAAGATAGAATGTTATCGTCTGTAGGAAAAGCAACACAAGGAAATAGAAAAAGTGCATGACACCACCCAAGATTACTCCTTTAAAGAAGTAGTTTGACACATCAGGAAAAGTATATTTCTTGCAAAGAAATGTGATGATTGATATAATTTTCACACCTAATTATATAGGATGCAGGAAACTGTTAGCTTAGCATAGCATAACTAATTTAAACACAGGGCTCTCAAGTTTTGAACAGAGTTCAGAGTGAGATTTTGGCAGCGGTGTTTGGTAGCCTACTCCAACTTCACGCTCCCATCAAAGTTCCCATGAAGCCCTCTGTACCGCAAATGTCAACGGGGGGGTGCTAGTGGAGTATGAAGCCCTCTGTATCGCGAATGTCAACGGGGGGAGGGGGGGTGCTAGTGGAGTGCACGCGTCTCAAACAAGCCTAGTTTGTTGTTTACAAAATTGCGGCGCAACTTGGTGGGCGGTACCCTGGAAAGACATTTCTGCGTGAGAAATACAAGGTGTGGCGTGTGAGCGTGTGAATGGAGTGAAATGCGTGTGAGACTTGAGAGCTCTGTAAACAACTAGCTAGCCTGGCTGTCCAAAAGTTATGGAATCACACTGTTTTGTAATGTAGTGATTTTATCAGAAATGTTAAATGGCTAAAGGCTGATTTATTTACTTTCCGACAGAGGCCGGTCAGCTGTTCCCAGCCTATGCTAAGCTAAGCTAAGCGGTTGCTAGCTTTTGCTTCATACTTTACGAACAGATATGAGAGTGATCTTCAAATCTCTGCAAGAAAGCAATTAAGAGTATTTCCCAAAATGTTGACATCCTTTAATTTACCTCAGCTTCTACCACTGGCTGTGGTACCTCTTCCTCCATCTGCCGGGAATTATACCATTATTTGAATTGCTTAAAACTTTTCAAAACGTGAAAGAATAATGCCACATTTTTTAAAATGAATATTATGAATGGTGAAAGATTATTTTTGGTTTAACATAATATTTGATAGCTGGTTCAATAACACGTCAGAGGTGCCTGTAAAGTGAGGAAAATTAGGAATTCATATTCGTGAGCACTTCCTGCTGATTTACCTGCTCTTCTACAACTGGCTCTGCAGCCTCCTCTGCTGTCTTAGTGGGTTGAACATTAATTTCACTCTGAGCAGATGCAAATGAATCACAACATATGAAAACAGAGAATAATCAGATCATCAGACGACTATTCCAATCCCAAAAAAAAAGACCCTGAGATTTACAACTCTCATACTTGTTTTACCTGGACTTCTACAACTGGCTCTGGTGTCTCCTCTGGTGTCTCCTGCAGAGCAAAACTACTTTTTTATTCTGAAGAGATGCAAATTAAGATGATTTGAACGTGCTTTTATTTATATGGTATGTCTGTTATGAGCACAGCTGTAAAAGACTGTTTAAAATAATACCCACTGTGCGGGTTTGGTGAAAGACTTGATATTCAAACTCACATTAAAATACACAATCCCCTGAATACTCCTGATGAGATTGAGCATGCACTCTGGTTTACCTGTACTTCTACTACTGGTTGTACCTCTACCTCTACTTCTGGCTCTGGTGGTTCATCATTGACTTTCTGCAGGACATTGGAGGAATTAATATTGTTAGTCAAAGCAACATGATAGACAGGAGATGTCCTTTAAACACAGAGGAAATGTTGTCATTATAAAAAGATTAAAAGAATAGTTTGACATTTTTGATAACGTGTATGTGCTTTCTTGTTGAGAATTAGATGAGAAGATCAATACCACTCTCATATCAGTGAGCTAAGTATGTAGCTAGAAAGTGGTTAGCCTAGCATAGCATAAAGACTGGAGGCAGGAAGAATCGGCTAGCTCTTAAGTAGGCAAATAGCACTGTATGTTGCCTGTTTGATTTGTACATAAAGTGAGTACAAATGAGAAGTTGTTTAATAGGATTCATGTGCTGCAACTATTTATTGGGCTTTGTTTGAATTCACATGCTAATATAGCCTAGTTATACTGACAACAAATTGAGTATGTATCGCAGTCTAATTGTTTAGGATTTTTCAACAATTACTTAGTATGCAGTGTGAATTTACTGGACATACTCAAAGTGCACTGTCTAAAGGTTCATAGGTCAGTTTAATGTTTTATTCTTTTTCCAGGTGCCAAGCTAGCTGTTTCCAGTTGTTGTGCTAAGCTAAGCTCCATGTTTTCTCACTGTAGCTTGATAGTTAGTGCAAAAACATAAGAGTAGTGTTGATCTCCTCATCTAATTTTATGCAGGCAAAATACATGTATTTTCTTGACATTTTGTGTGAATTAAATGAATCACTAATACCATTTTTAAATAGTGCAAACATCATGGAAAGGGGATTGTGGTACAAACAGTGCTGCTAACTTGACACAGTTTCCTCCGGAAATATTTATGTGATTATTGGACATGTATCTCCATGTCACATCCAAGTCACATCTTTGAAAGAGAACAACAACAATCTGATACCCTGGGTGAGGTTCAAGGCACAATAAATACTATCTTACACTTGCTGTTTATTCCTATTTGAAAACAGCTATTTGTTCTGTTCTTGCCACGTCCAGACAGACCAGCTCTTGTTCAGTTAGTAACAGGAAGAGCCATGGTCAGAGAATATAATAATCTACTGTACCACTGCTGCAGTCTTGGCATTGGCTCCACTTGCTGAAGCACTCTTGCCCTTGGATGCCTTGAGACCTAGCAGTACCTCAAATTCACATTCACTCTGCATTATACTCAGATTTTACTCATGTATCATTGCAATTCTACATGAATAACCACCCCTTTACGTAACTATCTTGTTTTACAATCTTTGGTTTGCTGTTTATTTACCTTTGGACGGAAGAGATTGCTCAGATTGACTCTGGCTGATAATCCTTTTGAGGCCTTGGGTGACTTTCCAGCAGCTTTTGGTTCTTCTTTGAGTGTGGGTTTGGCAGGTTTAGCAGCTAGTTCTGCCTTGATTTCCATTTTGGGTGGCTCTGGAGGAGGTGGTGGTGGGATAGACATCCCCCCTTTGGGTGCTGGGGGCGGCTCAGATACTTGTGCAACCTATTCAGAGAGTGAGTGTTCAAATAATTGCTTAAAAGAAAACACTCCACACTTACATACATGATAAAGTACACAATTACAATTTAAGGTGCAATGATGAATGCAAACCAGTTATCAGCAAGTAAGTTTAGTCCAAAATAAACAATGAAAAGAATGTGTGTGTACAATGAAACACTAGCAATTAAAGTAGCATTTATGGAAGTTAACTGAACCCAACTAATGTCCAGTAAAGATATCCTTTCGAGATAAATAAAAGCGAATTATAACACTTCATGGGGAATGTTCTCACAGTAGTGGTTGTCACTGGTGGGCACTCCTGGGACTATTTGCCAACAGAAAAAAGGAAACAGTTAGAGGAATAAAGTTAAGCAAACAAAGATGTGCAAACAAGCTTGAGTTCACTGATGCAACTAAACAAAAAAAAGCATGATATACATTGGATGTTGAGAAGAAATGAAAATGAGAAAATTAAAACCTTTCTTAATTAGCAACGGCCAGTTAATATTTAAACATGTTTTTAATGTTTCAAAAACATCTGTTCACCTGCTCTTTTGTGGCTTCAGGAGTAGCTGTTTCCTTGGTTACTTTGAGAGTCACCTGTGCAACAAGGGAAGATTTTTTTATTTGTGCCGTTCGTAATAGAAAAACTAAAGGCCTAGCTTTCAAATGTTATATGTTATTTCTTATAGCCTGCACTGAAGCTGTGTAGAACAAAGTCAGCGTTCTTTCGCCCATGTTATAGAAACAGAATAAATATTATTTAGATACAAGCCTTTCATGAATGCAGACACAGGCCTTTATGATGAGCTGACTGAGGCACTCTCAGGTCCCTGACAGAGCACATACAGTACGTGCGCTGTCATTGTGACAGCCATTGTGCTGCGGAGATGGCGTAGGCCTGCCCTCGCTCTATCTTCACAAATCTCAACTTCCAACAGCACAGGCCCCCCTTGTGAGCTCACACTATGGCTCGAACAATAGGCCACCACATTCCCGCATGTTCAGAGACTTGATTAGCATGGGGCTAGAGCAATGGTAACTCTTTAAATGTCCCAAACACAGCATGTTGAAGAGGAAATACAATAGCTAATTGTTGTAGGTTTTCCATCAATGCTGTCATATTGTCATGGATATCTTATCTGTCCCTTTTCACATACCTCAACATAAAACAAGAGAAATCACCAATAAAATGTGACGCAGCATCTGTTGAATTAGTTAAGACTGCTTTACATTAAATGATTTGGTTTCAGTAAGGCTTTAAGAGAAATGTGAAAATATTCATATGAGTTTTTTAAGCAGCTGTTTGACTTCAGTAATAATTACAGATAACAATGGTAGATCTGTTTCCTTCCTTTACACTACAGCAAATTCTTCAATGCATTTTTTCCACAGCAGTCTATTTTTTCAAACAATTTGGAATATCAATTGAATATCCGCCTCTAATTTCTGAAATTGTGTCACTTACTATTTTTTTGAAGAAGTTCATAACTGGATTCTCCTCTGGTTTGCTTGCCTTTTGGGTTTCCACCGGTTGAATGTTTCCGTTGACAGTTTCAGGAGCTGTTTCTTCAACTGGACACAGGTCTAGAGTCACACTCTCCGGCTCCGGTAGTGATTCTGATTCTTGCTTTAAGTTAGCTGTCCCCTATACAGCATCACAAAGAATTAGCCTTTGAGAATTATGTTAGAGCCCCACAGCTGATAATGCAAGCAGTGAGTGTCTTAATCGCAGCATTGAGATGGGAGCACAATTCCAACCATGCCTCTGCCTACTCGAGGCATTGTCAACAATCAGCCTTTTATTAATGTGTGTGTCCCACCCCTCACTCATTGATATTCAACAATGTGTGAGAGTTATGCCCTGGAAAATGTGAGGAAACTCAAATACCTTGCTGTGACATGATGGTGGGTATATAATACATAGTTTTGCATACCATTTTCCTTCAGTGTGGACTGATTTAATTTGAATGTTTTGTTTTTAAACCCTTCTCTTTCTCTTGTGAAAGTTGGTATTATTTGTCACTAAACACGAATGAAAAGGATGAAATGTACTAAATTATGAATGAACAAGATGTTTACATTTTTCATTTTATTGGAAAACATTTCAAAACTTCACAATTTCATCTTGTGTTGATGATATATAAATAACACTGCTTTTAATTATTATAAAACACAACATACAATTTACAATCAAATTGCAATTACTACTACATATCTTCACTTATGCAGCAAAGGGACTGCCAGCCAGGGAGGGCCAATCACAATCACTGGTCATTGCACTCAAGTTTCTCTTTCAAAATATTGGAGGTCTCTGTCCTGTGTTTTAAACTTGAGTAAACGTGTTCATAGTAAAGTTTTTGTTCATTACAAAAGTTAAAGGTTCTTTAAGTAAAGAAACATTACTTTGAATTAGAGCTTTCTATTTGTTTTGTTCAACTAAAAGGACAACTAACCTCTTTGAAAAAAATAAGCTGCCCAACATATTTATAAACAGATACAAACTCATGATAACTTTGACGAAATAGATAAGTAGATAACTAGCCACATCAACTGTTAAATAAGAAATTAAATTATTTTAGTATGGCAACTTACTCTCAAATGTACGTAGTTTGCTACTAGCCGATACAACAACAGCTACCTCTATGTATAACTCCTGGTGCAAAACGTTAAACACTTGATTTCCTTAAGAGGTTGATCAATATTTTTCATTCATTCAACATTTTACTGCTCTTCTTCCTTTGGAGCCACATTAATAGTAAGAGTAATTTCGTATCCCACTAAAGATAGCGTGAAACGACCAAGCCTATACGTATGCTGATTCTTCAACAACTTCCACACAAGCTGACTGCAGCCTGACCAATAACGCTTCCATGTCTGTGGTTGTGACACTTAAGTCCAGTGATGAATCTGTGGAGGTCCCACTTGATTCATCCTCTGAATTCTCTTCAGAGTCCTCCTCTGAAGTCACAAGGTCACATTCAGCTTCATCATCGTCTTCTGTGAGGATTTCCTCTACAATGGTCTCAAGAAAAGCATAGTTCTTCTCTTCAGCAGATAAACTACGACCAGAATGATCTGTTTCTTGCATGATCTCTTCTGTAACTTCATCTTCGATTGTCTCGAGTAGGACTACCAACACATTGCCATTTCGTGGTTGCTCAGGAAGGCTTGCATTCTCCTCCATAGACATCTCAGAAACAACATGAGTTGAATCTATTGGCATTTCGGCTAAGAAGATGTTCTCCTCTACGAGTTCCTCTTGGTCTGAAACGCAAGGCTCAGACTCTTCTGTGGCATCCATTGGTGGCACGTCAGCAGGTTCCTCAACTATGTTTTCAGTAACTTCAAGCAGCCCCGAAATATCTTCAAAAACTGCTTCTGGTGTGTTCCTCAACAACTCTTTGGTTGCATCCTCGTCAAGTGGGCTTGGGGTTTCCTCTACCTGTTCTACTGGGATTTGTTCGGGTGTTACAGCTTGAGCCAAAACATCATCACTTTGTTCCATAGTTTCCTCAGAACCGTCTTCCCCGATGACTTGGCCTCCTGTCGTATCTTCTTCAACACTTTCTGGCACTGCTTCCATTTCATTTGATAAAGCCTCTATTGCTTCTTCGGTGGTCATCTCAGTAACTGGCTCCTCTGGATTCACTAGGCCTGCTACTTGTTCTCCAGATAAGTGTAAATAACTAGTTGCAGTGATCACCTCTTCTTCGACATGATCCGCAGAATCATCAAGAGATTCCTGAGAGGTGATGGCAAAACATTCAAGTTCCAGTGAAAGGGTTTCAATCGCTGCCGCCATTATCATCTCATCATCATCTTGGACATGACTTGGCTCTGTTTCTTCAACTTGCTCTGGTCCCAGATCAGTACTCACATCTTCACCAACCTCTGCATTCATATCTCTAGTAATAACTTCAAGAATATATCCAAGCATTTCTTCATCATCATGAGAGCATAACTTTTCTTCAGGAAGTTCTTCAAAGGTGATACGCTCAATGGACGGAGCTTCTACAATGATAACTTCTTCCTTAGGACATCTATCCCACTCATCATCAAGCACTACTTGTCCACATATTTCTTGTACATCCTTAACTGCAACAGCATGACCAGAGGTGGCCTCTTCATGGGCAGATTCCACGGTTTCACATATTTCTTGTACATTCTCAACTGCAACAGCAAGAACTTTTTGTTCAAATATTTCTGGTACTACCTCAACTGTAACGACATCATCTGCAGTGACCTCTCCTTGGGCAGATTCCACATTTTCACATATTTCTGGTATGTTCTCAGCTGCAACGACACCATTTGCGCTGATTTCTTCATGGGCAGGTTCCACATTTACTAGAAGAACTGTCACAGGAGGGACAGGAAGTACCAATACAGCAAGTACTTCTTGTTCACATATTTCTGGTACATCTTCGACTGCAGGAGCATCATCTGCGGTGACCTCTTCGTGGACAGGTTCCACGTTTTCACATCTTGTTGGTACATTCTCAACTGCAACAGCTAGGACTTCTTGTTTACATCTTTCTGGTACATCCTCAGCTGCAGTATCTGTGGCTTCCCCTTCATGGGCAGATTTCATATTTACCAGCAGTGCTGTCACAGGAGGGGCAGATAGTTCCTCTACAGCAAGTCCTTCTTCTTCACATATTTCTGGTACTGCCTCAACGGTAACGACATCATCTGCAGTGACCTCTTGGGCAGATTCCACATCTTCACATATTTCTGGTACATCTTCAACTGCAGGAGCCTCATCCGCGGTGACCTCTTCATGGGCAGATTCCACATTTACAAGAAGAACCGTCACAGGAGGGACAGAAAGTTCTTCTACAGCCATTACTTTTAGTTCACATATTTCTGGTACATCTTCAACTGCTGGAGCATCATCCGCGGTGACCTCTTCATGGGCAGATTCCATATTTACCAGCAGTACCATCACAGGAGGGACAGATAGTTCCTCTAAAGCAAGTCCTTTAACTTCACATATGTTTGGTACATCTTGAACTGTAGCAGCATCCTCTTTGTTAACCTCTTCATGGGCAGATTTCACATTTACTAACAGAACTGTCACAGGATGGACAGAAATGTCTTGGTTTGCAGTTGAATTATTTTGCTCCTCACAAACCACTTCCGGGATTGTTTCCATCACCGTATTGGTTGGCTCTTCATCTGGGGACGAGACACCATTTGTGTCCTGGGCCTCAGTAGTGACCACATTAGATTCATTGAAGTTTATGATGTAGATAACTTCCACCCATTCTTCTCTGAACAATATACTCTCACACACTATGTTCTCCTTGACAAGTTCTTCATTGATGATCCCAGCTGTCTGGTTGTCTAAGTGCTCCTCATTCAAAGTATCTTCAACAACCCCCGCAATGAAAAATGCCCACCCATTTGGCGGATCTTCTTGCGATGCCTCCATTATGACTTCCACTGGACCATCAGTATAGGTGGTTGTATCAACATTATCCTCACCAGTTTGCGTTGAAATATGTGCCTCAATTGTTCTGTCCGTTTGTGTTGATATTTCAGCTTTCCAAAGTGGGTATTCAAAGCCGTCTTGGTGCACATCGATGATCACGGTGATGGCTTCCTCTTCCCTTGTGTCCGACTCCTTTATCATGAAAATCAACATTGGTGTTTAGATAAAATATTAAAAATTAAAAATGAATTGGTTCCGTGACATATATCACAACCATGTGCTTGATCACATTTGATTGAGACTATTTATTTATTTGGTTGCAGAAATTCTTTCTATCTTTTTGTTTCAATTTGTTAGTGGATTGGTTTATATACCCCTTAAATTGGCTTACCTTACGAAGTGATATTAGTCAATTTGGCAGGCAGATTGTTTTGGAGATTAGAAAACATTGAAGGATAAGACATTTTTCTTTATTTCCCTTACAGTCAACAAATATGACAAAAGACCAAACCAACAATGCATTAGTTCTTCTTTCAGGGCTCTCGGATTTCCCTCCCCCCTTTTCTTCTTTGGCCAAAAGACATACATTTAGGTTGCCGTTACAGCAGCAGCAGTCTGTTAGTAAAGAAATTACGTCCAGCTTTACTCTCCAACCTCCCAAGGCACAAAATAGACACAATAATGTTGTCCTAATCAAGAAAATGCTCGTTTCTAGAAAAGGGTTAAGTAATTATTTTAAAAAAGCTGGTCAATGTAGTTCTTGAGCAAATGCTACTCAAACAGGAACTGGAATATTTTACGGTTTGGATTAGAAATACGATAAACCAGGCTTTGGCGACGAGAGCAACACATGTTTGTTTAGGTCTTGGCATGGTATTTGTTGACGATAAAAAGAATACAATATTAAATTTGAAAACAAACATGAAATCTGCACTTACTGTCTGTGGATTGGGGGCAGGAAGACTTTCATCTGGTGGACTTTCATTTATTTCCTTGACTTCTTCCTTTTGGATGATGGTTTCCAGGAGCTCAGAAATAATCGGAGCTGCAGCAGATTTAGAGTCGGTTTCGACTATCATGTAGTCCGGCTCAGTTGTTTCTGTGGCAAGGTTAAAAAAAAAGGGTTGGGAATTAAAGATTGGAACCTGAAATTACCTAACTTTCTGACAAATATTTTACATGTTGCTAGTTGATTATTTTATGTTTTTCTCTTGTCTGTAATGTGAAGTCTGTGTTACAATAATGCATCTTATCTAATAATTATTCGTGTGTTTGAATATGCTTTACCAAATATTTTTGCAGCTGTCATTTATATTACACATCAGTGTTTATTTTATGTTAACTTCTTTGAATGCAATATTTAACTTATGCACGATATCTACTTTGCTCCATGTCTCCATGAAGTAAACATGGACTATGTGTGAGAAAGTGAAATTGTCTCCGTCGCCAACATTAGCTTTAGACAAACTCAGGTGACAGTGGGAATCCTGCAGCACTATTGTCTCTGCACTGACACAAACCACACCATGACAGGATAAACAGTTGCTCCTTGTCACTGCATGAGACTACGCCTAAGGTTTACTTTGGAAGTCCCAAGACACAGTCCAGCTGGGAGTCACTGTGTTTACAGAGTGTTATAAAGTCCAAAGGACTAATCCAACATCGATCAGCTGATTTTATGTGTCAGAGACTAGTGTATAATATTTTCCCAATAAGCAATATACAGCTTAATATATTAAGAACAGTACAAATATGACTGTCATCCTCAGATTCTCAACATTTGAAGACAACAAGTTAATTTTCGCACTGTGTCCAAATGTGTATATACCGTATATGACATATTTCTACCATGCTTTTTTAAAGTTAAAACATGATTAGGTATTCTAGTAAAAACAGATCTCACTCACCAACAGTCGCCACTCCATTAGATTTGATGTTTGTAGAGATGCCATTAATTGATCCATTGTTATGCTTCCCAGAAATGCTCCCATTCTATAAAAAAGTAATAAAGAGATACTGTATAGATTGGTCCACAGTTAACAAGACATTATCTACAGTGGGTTATTTGAACAAAACACTGATTTTACATTTACATTTACAACTGCTAACAATCAAACATTTAGAAAAATATGGGATAACATATGTGGTCCAAACAGCCATTAGCATCTGCTTTTCCATGAGAAAATTAAAATGTATTATAAGTTATAGATACTTCAGTTATAGGGTTAACATCACAGTTTTTTGTTACTTTGAATAAAATGCTACCTTGGTAAGCTCTTTGTTCTTGGATGTTTCGTTCCCCATGTTTTCCAAGAATCAGGCTTTGAAACTCCGATTCTGCAAAAAAAAGAAATATCATTTAGTTACGTTGCATGAACAAGAAACTATGCACTGCAAAAATGTAATATATATCGAAATTGGTATGTCTCTTCATTCAGTGATATAGCATTGTGTTAACTCAAATGTCTTACCTTGTTACACCTCTGCAAGACAAACAAGTGATATCCGTCTTAAGATAAAATGTGGAGGGAGTCTGTCACACTGCTGCTCCTACCAAACTGTGCATGCCTGTTGTTTACAGCCTATATACATAGTTGGTGAGCTTTAAGAAATGGGTGTGACCGTTTTTAAGTAATCAATCGGACTTCCTACTATTCAGTGACTGCAGTGTCGGTGCTCTTTTTTTAAAATCTCATGATTAGCTCATGGTAATCTCTCTGTGAACACTTTGAAGACCCCCCGACATGATCATAATGTGCTGATAATCTTATCAATCACAAGGAAATAAGGTGATGCAGTGCACTCTTGCTGACTCATTACATGTGAACTAACAGGATGTCGGTTAAGGACATTAGTTGAAACACTTCCTAAATGCCAACAAAGAACATGCATAAACGTAGTATTCTATAAACCCGGTTCTTTTTATTTTAAAGAAGAACTTTTATCATTTAGGTTATTATGATCTTTTTTTACAGGGTCTGTTAATGATAGGACCATTTGGAAGAAATAATCCAAGTGCCACGTGCCATGAAATATCTACTGTATTTCTTTGATATGATTTTATAGGAGGGACTATCTGTTTTAGTGTCACAGCTTATCATGACAAACAAAGAGCTCTGTAATTAAATCATCTGTCTTAAAAGACTTCCACATGGTCATATTTAAATGTCTTTGAGTGCCTGTCAATGCATAAATTCAGACAGCACTGGCTGAGTGGCGCTCAGGGATCAAAGACAAACTGACTTGAGTTCCCTCTGAGGTGTTCCTTCTTTTATTATTCCCATCTGTGTGTTTGTTTGCCACTTTGTACATCATGTGCTGTGATCATGCTGCTGACAAAAGCCTTTTCATGCAAATCAGCCAAACTTAAAATAATTTGAATATGTTTTACAACAAATAACTGCAAAAAACAATTGTTAGGAAACTTCAAATGTGCAGTGTTTATTGAATGTATTATGACAGGGCTTGGAATCCATGCACACAATGTCTCAATTGTAGCCTATAGGCTGCACATTGAGGTGGGAGTTGGATCCCCCTGATTGGATTGTGCACTTTTGACTTCATGCAAGGCCAACAGCTGAGAGACCTCAGACAAACTCTTCATGATGTTCCAACGCTCGGCAGCCTTCTAGTTTTATCAGGGGCACGACCCTTACAAAAAGCCCTTGATTTTAGAAATAATAAGGACATTTGGCTATTAAGATTTAGTCCAAACATAATGATGTTCATGATACTGCCTGGTTGCACATACCATGGAACAACACTTATATATCTTTGAAGTGGTGCACTTAATCCATTTTCTGCAGCCAGCCTGAATTGGATTAATAGCGCTCTAGCTCTCCAGATGTATTCAGTAAATATTTGAGCTAGGGTGCAGCACTGTTTGCTGTGGAAATATTTACAGAGAAGTAGTTCCGGTTGATAAAATAACATGTTTGACATATTGTTAGGTCATTTATTTAACTCAATTAATTATATATTTAAACAAAACCTAAATTCTCACTCTCATAAGAGAGTTCTTTGCCATCATTTTTATTTTATTTTATTTATTTTGTTTAACTTATTTTGACTATGTGAACAAAGTAACAAAGTAAATAGACAAAATAACAAATGATATAATTAACATTTAACACACTCTTAATACAAAAATCACAAGCAGCATTACTAAACAACATAAATAATGATAACTTGTCAGAAAGTACTCAATGTCTTCCCAACATCTCAAACAATGAACTTAATTACAATAATACATACAACTCTTAAAAAAGAATTTGTGCTTGACTTGAGTTCTACCTCAAAAACCTCTGACGAAAAACACAGAAAAAGGCCTACCTATCATAGTGGTAAGAAAACAATGTTGTTTTTATAGGAAAACATTTCTTAAATTATAACTTCTTTATGAATGAAGGCCCATGTTTGATGCTACCTTATATTATTCTCTTTTATAAGTACTTGTGTGATCAAAGGACAACTATAGGCCTATTATGCGGTGAAATGCAGAGACGGAAGAAGTACTCAGGTTATTTACTTAACTAAAGGTAGTAATACTACAGTGTAAAAATACTCAGTTACAAGTCAAAGTACTGCATCCAAATGTGTACTCAAGTAAAACTAAAAAAGTATTAGTGTCAAAATATTCTTTAGGTACCAAAAGTAAAAGTAGTAGCTATTTAGAAAGGCACCTTTAAACATCAGATTACAAAATGTATATATATTTTATATAAATTATAGGTGCATTAATTTGTTCATCACTTCAGTTTTGAAGTTAGTAAAGGTGGGGGGTTTATTTGATGTACTTTATACACTACTGGGTAGCCTACAATAATGTATGTGTCGATTTATATCCTCCAGAGACCCACCCATACATTTTTGTCCTCTGTGGAGCACATTGGGTTTTGGTCCATTACTTTGAGGTTATACATGCCACAGCATTAAGTCCAATTGTACTCCATAGACAACCCAGTCTCATGGCATTTCGTGTTCATCCTGGGATTTTCAAACATATGACATGGGTGTGGCTTTGAAAAAGATAATTTCATTGTATTTTAAAATGGCGTCCATCAACACAAGCACTATTTATAGAAAGATAAATGGTAAGTTTGTAATGACCAGTGTTGTGAGTTCAATATTTTTGATTAATTATAGTAAGGGAACATCTTAGGAGTTAGTGTAGTGAGTTTTCAGAGCAGTGTAATACTTATTTGACCTAAAACTAAATGTTTTTATGAATGTCCTCTGAGGAGGACATGGGGATTTGCTAACTTTTTATTTCCCCCATTTTACACAACACAAATGGAGTCCACTATGGGCCAAAACTGACACTTAGGTTTCTGTAGGGTTCATGGCAGACCGATGCAGTGGGAAAACATACATCAAGTGCCTCAAGTGTCAGATGTATCTCTGCATTTAAAAAAAGAATGATGGAGTAGGCCTACTACAAATGAGGGCTCAATATTTGTTGCATTGAGTTGTTGTGCTCTAATGTTATCTAAATGTACTTGTATGTTAATGTTGTTTGTATACTATGCTTCGCATAACTAACACCCGATGTCCTCTAAAAAGGACACACAATAAAACAAAAATAAAAATATATTTTTTTAGTTTTTGTTTGTCATTATGTTTATACCACCCTAAAGACTTGTGTGATAAAAAAAAGAAAATACAATTTGAAACCTTTTTCTTTCTGGGTCTCAGGAGGATATTTTGTACAAACCTAAATCTGCATAAATAAATCTCCAAAAAATAATGCCTGCAGGATAATGGAGTAAAAAGGTACAACAAGTGTAAAGTAGTGAACAAAATAAAACATCATGTACCCCAACTTTTTACTTAAGTAGAGTACTTCAGTAGTAAATGTACATTATGACTAAGTGGACTAAACTGAAGAAAAGGTGTTGTTTTCTATCATTTTTACTGCTAAAATCTAGAGGTAGCCTACTTCCTGTCCCGCTTGGTGGCGGTATAGATTTATTTTTCTGGTGATCTGTGCGTCTGTGCAGTCGAGGAAGCCAAGATGGCAGCCATCATGAAGGGAACTGTAGTGAGTATTACAATACAAAATAACTTGCTTTTCAAGACACTCTGCTGCAGTCTCTTTTGCAGTATTAGATAAAGCAGTAGAGGTTTGTGTGGGGGAAAAAGACACAACCGTTGATACCACGGATAAATAAATATCATGGTCACGCCCTCGTGCAGCTCATGTCAACGGTTGTAGCTACCGTTAGCTAGCTAGCTAATACACTAGCTATATTTATCCCGCTTTGTATTCAACTGAGAGTCTTAAGAATTAGCCAGGTTAATGGTGATGATAATACTAATAATAAATACCTAAACCATGGATGCGATAGTTGGCAGAACAGACGGGACACACTGTAAAGTTTCTTCTTTAGCTTGCTAGATAACAGTAGCTACGTTGACCATTCATAGGTATGCTAGTGGACCAACAGGGTTTGGCATGTTAGCTTTAAGTAGAGGTGGGAGAATTAGTCTATTTAACTATTTTTGCTTTATGGCATTGACTAACCACAAATCTAGCAATAAAAAAAATACGGCTTGGCTGAAAATTGTTTTTTCTTCATACTATGTTTGGCCTATGGGACTATTTTACAAATGTTTATATTTCATTATAATATAGGGAAGTCCCCAAGTGCCAAATGACTACATTTAGCATGACAAGGAATCTACTATATCTTAAACATATCCATAGTAATAATAGCATGTTGAATATGAAAGATATGCTGGTACTTTTAAACTCATCTGGATAAATAATATGGCAATTTTCCTTAATTTACCTAATATAGTCTTTGGGCACATTATCACTGCGTAAAAATACTCTGGTACAAGTAATGTAATTAAATAAGTATTGGCATCAAAATATACTTAAAGCCCCCGGACTAAAAGCACTACAACGTATATTAAATGGTTTATAATAAATGTTTATTATGTGTTCATCACTTATAGGTTGGAGCTATTAAAAGTGAGACTAATTTTAGCTTTTGAATTTCCCACTTATCTCATAATGAAGAATCATTATTTATTTGCTGATTTATATTTTTGGTTATATAGTAACTACCTATAGTAACTAAAGCAGTTATTTAATAGAATATAGTGATTTAAAGGTTATATTTCCCTTTTGATTTGTATTGGAGTAGACATTTAAAATAGCACAAAATGGAAATTCTCAAGTGCAGTATAATTAGTAAAGTAATGCACCTGCAATAAGCAAGGAAATGTACTGAGTTATTTGCCACAGCTGGCTTTAACCACATTTTTCCTCATGTCTGCAGGCGGTAGAAGATGTGAACGTCACCTTTGAAGACCAGCAGAGGATCAATAAATTCGCCAGGAACACAAGTCGGATGAACGAGCTGAAAAATGAAATCGAGGCGAAGAAAGTAAGCACCATGTGATGTGGATTTTACCCTTTCGGGGTCCATTGTGAGATCACCCGAGTTTGTAATAAAAAATTATATTTTGGACCAACATGGGTAATTGCAATAATATAGGCTTATTGTGTGTAGATTCTTTGTCTAGAGTTACCAATACGCAACAGCCCTGTTTTCACAAGGATACAAATGTTTTATTGAATATTTTCTAAGGAGCTGTTGAAACATAATGTTCATTTTGAAGGCTGTAGTTGTTCGTGGTTCTGTTATTTCTAATTCGCTATACTGCAAAGGAATAATTGATACCGTAATTTTCGGACTATAAGGCGCACCTGAATATAAGCCGCAGCAGCTAAATTGAATGATGTGTACATATATAAGCCGCACTGGACTATAAGCCGCAGGTGTTTTAATGTTTAATTACCATATGTAAGGGTTCGTGCACAGAGGGGATTGTCAGGAAAGAGATGGCTGTTTGAGGAAGCTCCCATTTATTAACATTTCAACAAACAAGTTGCATATTTGCATAACGTATTCAAGTGTTACCATTTAGTGCAATAGTAGCTACAGAACATGTACTGTGCTGTGTAAACTGTACTGTATCACATAGCGTTTCAGACACACAAACTTTTCAACTTTCAAACTTAAACGGTGCGCTCCCAGCGCACGTACCGGCAGTGATCTACAGCAGTGGTTTTCAACCAGTGGTACGGGGACAAACTGTCTCGCTCTCGTAATGTCTGTCTGTCTTGCTCTCGTTCTGTCTCTCGTACCACTCTCGGTTCCACTTTTACTTTTGCGCGCTACCTGTCTCACTCTTTTCCGGCCTCCAGCTTTTCCTGCTGGAGCCCGCCGCTTAAAGGTGGGGGGCGCGGACCGGCCATAGAGTTAAAGGTGGTGGACTGTAACCTGTAAAATCCATAGATTTAGGAGGTCCCCTAGTGGCCGTTAGCTGTAGAAATCCATAGATTAGCCGCACTGTTATATAAGCCGCAGCGTCGAAAAATGGGAAAAAGGGCGCGGCTTATAGTCCGAAAATTACGGTACTTTCAGACCCTTATCATCTTCACTTCTTAAGTTTAACATAGTACAAGTCATCAGAGCCACACAATACAGCCTGTGAAATTACCATAAAGTTGATAATGACAGATTCCGGTGAGATGCAATTTGTTCATATGGGTTACGGTTAAGTACGGTCTAAAGGGAAGTGCAGCTGCTGAATTACTGACAGTAATTTGTTAACAGCCCTAATTGAGACTCTAATGTTCTGCTAATGTCACCCTGCAGAAATCGCTGCAGAACCTTCAGGATGCCAGCGACGACCTAATGATGTTAGACGACGACTCTCTTTTGATCCCGTACCAAATTGGCGACGTCTTTGTCAGTCACACCCAGGAAGAGACTCAAGAGATGCTGGAGGCTGCCAAGGTAGGTTTCTTTAGACACCATTATGCCTTTTTGAAATGGTAATTATCTGTAAAAGACTCTTATTAAGATGAGTCATAAAGTCAAGGGACTGAAAGCACTAAAACTCCATTCACCTATATCACCTAATGTACTCTCACATTTCTTAAAGATAAAAACATCAGGTCACATACTGTATTCATGGCTTTGGGAATTGTATATAGTTTGTGTATGTCTTATTATTATTATGTTTAATTTCAATATAAAGACGGCTCGTTTCATAACACATTTGCATTGGGAAAAAAAGTTGGACTATATCCTTCCTATTAAGTTATGGGTTTCTTTCATTTGCACTAATTCCTGCCTCTTAAGAAAAATTCATCTAACATTTCCAGTGAAAGCTATGTCTGACTCTCCCCTTAGCTTCCTCATTTAAAAAATGGGAGATTAATCTACAAGTCTGAATGTTCCCTTTTTAAACTGACATGAACAGAAAATGTTTTGCACCCACAGTGTATTTCATATTGATCGCTTTGGTTACACTTTTCTATATTATTATACGTCATACCAGACTGCAGTCATGAGAAGTGTATTGATCTTCACATGACTGTTGGCAAGAAAACCAATAACATAGTCCAACACATTTAAAACCATTCCTTTATTTGCACTGATGGTTGTTTCAGAGCTTTGGAACAGTGAGAAGCAGTTCAAGTTTGGGGCACATTAATCATCCATGGTGCACCTCTATTTATCTAGAGGGCAAATATTGATCCTCAGACAAGACCTTGTTCTTCCTTCTGTCACTTCAAGTTCCTGTTTGTCCTTTTTTATCTGCTGATGCTTTTTTAGCCAAACACAGCGCAGGCAATTACAATTTATGTAGAGCCGTTTGCTACGAACAGCTGAGAAAAGCTCACGTTTAAACTCAAATATCTTCTGAGTATAAATGAGTGCACACTTATTTCAAGTTTCAAGGCTTTCATTGTCATGTGTGCAAAGCTACAGTGTAGTTATGACAATGAACATCTTAGGTCACAGGCTCCCCCAACAGTGCAACACAATAAAATAGCACAATAAAATACAAATATAATTGAAACAGAATATAATACAAACTGTGCAGAATAGTCTATATACAGTAATATTGATATATATGAGTTCAGGCTACATTAGAATGATTTCATCACAATACATTTTTCCTTCATAATATGTTGTTCTCCGTCGTCTGGGAAATTGTAGTAGATGTGGTTTAATTGGGATTTATGTTCTGTAATCAGGAAACACTGGAGCAGGAGGTCAAAGGCCTCGATGCCCGAGTGTCCGCGATACTGCAAGTTTTGGGGGATCTGAAAATCCAGCTCTATGCCAAGTTTGGTACCAACATTAACCTGGAGGCTGATGAAAGCTAAGCTGGGAATTGGACATTGAAAGCTGCCCCAACTCGGACTTTTTCATGCAGCTCCTGTATCACATCCACCGAGCCAAACAAAACATCCCCCAGGACTCCGCATGAACGGCTTATACGTCTGGCTTTTGTTTACACGGATGTTGTTTGATTCTTTAGTTTGTAATCAAAATCACAAGGACACCAACAGTTAAGGTATGGAGATAAAATAAATGCACATCATTTGTTACTTATTGTAATTCGTCCTGTATTTAATGATCATGTTTTTTTTAATGTGCTGATCAAACTTAAGTAAAAGATGAGAAACAAAACACCCGTGTAGTATTTAACACTCTTAACATTTACATTGTGAACTCACTTTGTGCTCCACTATCTCAAAACACATTAACAAAATGGTGTTCATGCAACAATGTCTGAAATCCTTAAGAGTATCGAATCTGCTTGAATCATTCAGAATGTTGTGGTGCTGCCACCTTAAGGTGATAAAATAAGTACCTTCGGTTACTGATCAACACGTTTGTTGTCTATTTCCAAACTGCATTACATTTCATTCTGAAATATACGTATTCTCATGGATCTTCAATCGGAAACGGGAGTCGCTATGCTTTACATTTTTACATGTGTGCCTCTGTTCCTCATACAACTATTTTGAGTCATCTAAAAAATGTCTGCTTGAACTGCAAATACATTTAGTACATGAACATTTTTTAAAATGAGAAATCTCCAACGAGGCCTTCTGGGGTAGCATAGACAGGTATTTTCTGTGTTAGAGTTGTAAGTGTGTACTTTGAGGGTTTTGACTGCAGACCGTTTACATGCATAAAAACCTTCATAACACACAAGGGGAAGGTTAATAACCGGAAAAGCATGACATGGGACCTTTAACAAAATCTTTACACATTCTCACACGGCTCAGATAAACCGATAAGGATAGAAGTTTGAAGAACAAAGACTTCTTTAATGATTGACTTTTAAAACAAAGGGAGGGTAGCCCCTTACCGTGATATAGCCTTAAGTCAAGTCTTTATGTCCCGTCATCTATTCTTGAAACAACAAAAATAGTTTTAAAAGGAAACGCTTACAGCAACAAATGGATGAAATAAACAGATTCATGCTAGGGAGATTACTAATAACGGGCTTACTGTATCAAGGCATGACAAAAATACCAAAAAACACTAACAACTAAGCACAGATTCAAATCACACACAGTAGCATTGACAATAACAAATCAGAATAGCTCAAAATGATGTGAAATAAATACATTTGTCGACCATAGACATGCACTATGTGTGATTTGCAACTAACAGGTATGCAACAGAAATGATATACAAGACTCAAGAAGAGAAAAGGTAACGATTAGCCCATTAAATAAGCCTTAGGACATCACTTAAAACATTTGCTTCAATTTGATGCCACCTATTAAAAAAATATTTAAAAAAAGTTCCTTTATCTGATTAGTCTAGAAAACTGTGTCCAAAACTTTGTAAATGTTATCGCTGTGAGACTACTACTCAACATTTAAATAATGAATTCAGGTGAAATCTAAATTGTTCTGTCTGAATATTGTGCAGATCATTCTTTAAACATGCTGGAGGTTTGGAGGCTTTCACAAATAACAACAATGCACAAACCTCATTAAATCGTGCCCTGGAGCCGGGCCCGACTCAGCGTGTATAAAATATGTGAAGAAAATAAATGAAGAGTTTGAAGTCATAGCAGACACCTCTGGAGGATCAAGATCTCAATTAACACATATCTCCTCCCGCTCGGTTTCCTGCTGAACATTCACGGATATGATTAAGAGGAACTACACACACACACACACACACACACACACACACACACACCTTTATGTGCAACTTGTTAAACCGCGGCTCAGAGGAACACACACATGGAAATGACTGGACTTATTTCCCCGATGGTCTTGTTTACTCTGTGTCTGTCCCCTCTCTCTTTCTCTGTTATTTCCTATCTGTCCTCTGCTTCCTCTCTAATGACACAGATTGGAGTGAACTTCTCAAACTCTTTGACAGATTTTAAATTGGTTTGATTTCTGCTCAGGCTGCCACGTTCACACATTTGTCCAAAAAGGTATGCAGTCTGCGACAATGTGAACGCTCATTTAATCGTGTTTTCCTTTTAATTGCAGCTTTAAAGGGTTGAATTATTGTTACAAAAATAGTTTGCAAGTATGTAGTTTAGTCTAATGAACTCTATAGGGAGATAGTAAACATTCATTATCCTCATTGGATATACAATATGTTAATTAAAAGGAACATTAAGTGTGTACACTGTTCTAGTAAAGCTCGAGATGTAATTGCTAAATCTGACCACCAGGTGTCTCTGTCGCCCCAGTAATATCACAGTCAAAATTAAACTGCTTTAACTAATATCAAGATGAGCTCTTTGAAGTTATTGGATATGACTGCACATCGTGAATCTACAGAAACACCTCGAACTTATTTGGGTCCTTCCCCCCGGAGATATGTTATGAATGAGATATCGAGGGAATAATAGATATTTGGAGTGTGAATCAGGCCTCCTCAGCGCTGGAAGAGGGTTTACATGACGTGCAATCAGTGAAAAGGGATCGTGACTTCTCCAAGGGAACATCAACATCCATTTAAAAAAACTGTTAAATGACACATTTATTTAGTTTGTGATCCCAAATCTTTGTTCTTTTAATGTTGTTTTTACTTTTTATTTTTTACATCTGAGAAGCTCGAAGATATAGTAAGTCAGTTATTTTGGAAAAAACGTCACGAAATAGCTCTTATTGGATATTTGTACATCTTTTCATGTAATGTCTTCCCTTTTTTATAATGAATTTTTCATTAAAGTATCAAATTCGGTATTGATAAGCGGTATTGATCAAATCCAAACGATACCCATCCCTTTGTGGAATAATTGGAGGAGGATTTTTAAACAAGACTCATTTGGCTTCTAGGTTAAAACCATGATATGACACGACTAACTTTTGATTACAGCTGTCTTTACTTTCTCAATGACGTGCAATCCAGTAGCCAGATCAGCTTTTGCCGGTAGTCAGTGTCTTCCTCAAAGAGTGTGTGCACACTTCATCACCCTCTGGTGCAACAGTGAGGAATAGTGGTTGCTCACTGTCTCTGCCTGTTAGCCTAAATGTCAGGAGAGTCAATGCAGACGCTTGGAATCCGCCATCGAAGCTACAGCCGTTCTTCATCACTTACAGCTCCTCTGTCTCAAACTGCTTGTTTTCATTACACATGGTACGATCTCTAAAGTACAATGCTACCTGTCAAAGGCCATGCAACAGGTGACCTATATAAAACACACCCATGTGACAATTGCTGGAAGTGCTCAACAAATACAAATAAAATACAAATACAAATTATAATAATACAAATAATTAACTCAGGCTAAATAGCTTTTTGGCTCCTACATAAGGCCATGAATACTTGTTCTGTCTTTAGAAACAGCTCACTGTAAAGACGCAAGAGAAACATGAGAAAAAAGTGGTCATATTTTAAATGTATGTCTTAAAGGTGACCTATCATGCAAAATGCACTTTTGTACGTCTTGTATACATGAATATGTGTCCCCGGTGTTCCAGGGAACTCACCAAGTGTCAGAAAACACAACTCTCTCTATTTTCCTCCATACCCAAATCTCTTAAAAAGGGGCTGCAACGGATCTGATACAGACTGATCTAGATTTGAACACTTCTATGACGTCACAGAAGTGGCGCTACGGCTATTGGGCCAACTCCACCAATCAGGAGGAGACAGCCACGGACATTGCCTAGACCACTGGTTCTCAACGGGCTCCAGAAAAACGCGGGCTAAAATCCTTGATTATGGTTTTTATGTTATTTTATGCGGTGAAATTGCGGGAAGTTGCGAAAAAGAATATATATATTTTTAAATATTGGGCTGTCTTATTTANGGGGCGCTGGAAGCAATATTTTTGAAAGGGGGGCGTTGAGGTGTTCTTGGGGGGCGTTCACGCATAATGTCTTTTTGTCATGAAAAACGCTGGCCACAGCGTCTTTTCCTGTACAAAAAGCAGCTGTCAGCATCTTTTGTTCCTATAGGAAACCACAACTCTGCTTGCGATTGGTCAGCTGTCAGCAGTGTTATTACGGGTACGTTCGTAAATGCACGAACGGTCACCAATCGCAAGCAGAGTTGTGGTTTCCTATAGGAACAAAAGATGCTGACNCACTAAGCTGTTTGTGGCTCTTTCCTGCTGTAACGCTGCAAATTTCCCCTCTGTGGGACTAATAAAGGGATTCTGATTTAATGCTGTTAACCAATTAGCTGGCATTGCAGCCAAGTCATTATTGATCCCTGTCTTCCCTCTTTAATTTTTTATTCTGTTAGCAGATATGTATGTTTTAAAAAAGGCTAGAAATATGATTCTCAGTGCTTTTGCAAAATCACAATGGGAAAAATGTCACCTAAAGGGCTAAGAAACCATATTTTGTGCTTTTATTTGCTGTTGTTGAGCCATAAATTGAAGCTAATTGGACAACCAGCTGCTGTGTCGGTGCAACACTAATATGACCTGAGGATCATTGGTTAAAATCTCTACTTGGGGAAAATCCTGCTGGAGTGAATGTGAAGCATTCATCCTTCTTCCGTAAATGCCATTAGAGAAACGTTGTGCTACAGAACATTGGATTAGTCCGCTGGAGTGGCCCAACGGTCATCAGCTCAGCGAATGGAGCGTTAACTGGACCACCAAGGCTGTGATGCCCTGTGCTAAAATAACACTCACTTACTAGGGGAAATGAAATATGACTCTTAGACCTTGTTAGCAGCAAGAGTCATATTTTAGTCTGTGGGGCTGCACTTAGACACAAAGGAGGTTTTTAGCTACATGCTAACATCAGCGCTGCTCCAATAAGCTCACAATCGTGTTAAAAACAACCAGTATAAGTGTACATGATTTGTAAAGTGTATATGTTTTGTTTTGAAATAACTGCCATGTGTGCAATAAACAAATAAACAAACATACTTACAGATATACAGGTAAAGTGTTCCATTCCCCACACCTTACTTTAGCATGTTAGCATTCTAACACAGTGATTCTCAAATGGGGGTACGCGGACCCCTGGGGGTACGTTGGGGTACTGCAGGGGGTACGTGAGATTTAAAAAAATTAATTAAAAAAAGTTTGATTAAAAAAATACCATGCATGATTACAAAAATAATCTTAGTACAATAAGTTAAATAGAAAACACCATTTTATATAAAATATTCCTACCACCCTTGGTCCTCATTATAAACATGTCAAATGTGTGTATTGTATTTTATAGTTTTTCACAATATATCATTTTGTTCATTGACACATTACTTCAATTGAAAAACTCCTTGGAAAAATCTGTTTTATAAAAATGTCGTTGTGTTATTTTTTTTCATGCATGAAGATGAAAATATCCTGTTTGTTGTAATGCATGCACCAAGGAGTTAATTAATCACACACTGAGGGAACATCACTATATTGTAATTATTCGTATAGGCTTTTTCGA